TTGGCTTTTATAGACGCTTATATTTAACATAATGTGTACCAAACAAATAAGATGATTCTCATATAAAAAAAAATGCATCCCTTTCCTTCTTTCTAGGATCGGTGTGAAGACTCATCACAGAGGCCTTGAGATACAGCAGGCAGCGATAACCTAGCCATTGTCGTTTTTACCATTCTGCATGTAAATATTCTACCGCTGCTATTTTATTCCAGCAGAAAAAAATTCTAGGCCCCACCAAAACAAAAAATTTAAACCAATAAAATCTCCAAATCATCTTTTAATTATGATACTGACTGGGATTAAATGCTATTTAGATGGTAACATGCTTGAATATTTATTTTATTTATTTATTTGAGACAGAGTCCCAGTCCTGTCACCAGGGCTGGGCGAGTGGCCGTGATCTCGGCTCACCTGCAACCTCGCCTCCTGGGTTAAGCATTCGCCTGTCTCAGTCTCCTGAAGTGCCTGAGATTACAGGCATGCGCGACCACTCCTCCAGCGCGGTCTTCTTCTCGCTCCACAATTCTCTTTCCTTAGGTCACCCACCCCGCCCTCTCGGGTTTCGCCATCTGTTGCGCAGGCTGGTCTCACGAACTCCTGGCTTCAGGTGATACCGCCTGCCTGCGCCCTCCCCAGAGTGGCTTAGGATTATATGGGTGAGCCACCTCGCCCAGCCTAATTTTATTTCATCTTTATAAAAAAAAAAAAAGAAATGGAGAAGAGATGGTAATTCGAGAGGGTTGTAGGGATTTGAGATGTGAGAAAGTTAAACATGGTTATCTACAGAGGGGCAAAATGCCATAATAAAGGGAGAGTGTGAAAATGTCAGGAGCCGAGGGGAGTTGTTCTAGGTTACTGGGGACGTAGAGGAGCATGGAATGCAGAGCACAGGTGGAGAGAGAAGCTCCCATGGAAGAGAAGCATCTCTTCCACTGTTATGAGGAAGAACGACCAGGGTGATTGTAGATGCAAGTAATTTTGTAAATAGCGGGAGAAGAAACTGGGAAAGTTCCTGCCTAAACCACTGGAAAGAAATTGTGGAGTTAGATACTTAGAATCACATCTCAGCTTGACTCCTTTTTAGTTGTGTGATCTAGGGCAAATTACCTGTCTGAACTTTGTTTATTTATATGTGAAATGGAGTTCACAATAGGTCTAAAGTTAGATAACATGGAAAGCTCTTAACAGTGCCTAGCCCATGGTTGAGGCTTAGTAGTGCTAGTTCTTTCATCTTCCCTTCCCTTCATTACTTTGAGATACAAAGTCTCTTCAAAAAGTGATAAGGAGAGATTGTGTCAAGTGCATGTCACACACATGAAAATAACTGGTATCAGTGACTGATACCCTGGCACAGTGACATTCAGAGGAGCCGCAGCAGTGAACCAGGTATTTAAGCTTGGGTTTAAAGAGCATGATACAGTATTTTTCCTTTCCTTAAATAAAGGCAAAGATGAAACAGGTTAATAAGGGCTTAACACAATAAGCTATGAAGTTCATTGTTGTAGAAAACCATTGTATAGTCAAGATATTCAATGAGTTGTCAACTAGGGTCCTTGAGCTAGATAAACGACAAAAGATACGTAGCTAGTTAGCTCTAAGTATTTGTTTAAATATATTTACATGGTTTTCTTCTCTTCCTATTCTATCTCCTACTAACAAACCAACTACTACCCCGATAAAACAAAAACAAGAGGAACACATGCACACCTGTAAGGTTTTCCAAGTCTATAAATATATTTCTGGTCTTAAGTGCAGGCACCCTTCCTGATTTGTCTACTTTTTTACATAATGTGGTCTCTTGGTTTCCTCCTTGTAATTTTTCTTCATTATATATTTAAAACTTTTGTGTGTGTAAGATGTCATTAATTTAAAGTCTCTGGACATTTTGTGTTTAGTCATTAAGTGTAGAGTTATTAAGTATCTGCTTTGTTAGGCCATGAGCTAGAACTGGGGGATGCTGTGATGATAAAAATTCACTTTCTCAGAAACTTCAGGAGAGGGAGGCAAGTACATGTGGATAAGTGGTATGATATATTTTTAAGTATCATTTTTGGAAGACATTTTAGAAGTCTTTATGCAAACACTTTTAAAAGAAACGTTTTCTAAAGGAAAGCTTTTCCAGAGAGATTTTTTGAAACCTTAGATGGAATTGGACTTTATGCCCACTTTTGTGGGGGGGAAAAAAAATTCCTTAGTCTAGGCCGGGCGCAGTGGCTCATGCCTGTAATCCCAGCACTTTGGAAGGCTGAGGCAGGTAGATCACGAGGTCAGGAGATCAAGACCATCCTGGCTAACATGGTGAAACCCCGTCTCTACTAAAAAATAGAAAAAATTAGTCGAGCATGTTGGCGGGTCCCTGTAGTCCCAGCTACTTGGGAGACTGAGGCAGGAGAATGGCGTGAGCCTGGGAGGCGGAGCTTGCAGTGAGCCAAGTTCATGCCACTGCACTCCAGCCTGGGCAACAGAGCGAGACTCCATCACAAAAAAAAAAAAAAAAATTTCCTTAGTCTAGTCACTATTCTGACTTGTATTTGATTATTAGGCCAGTTTTAATTTTATGTTGTTAATTTTAGTCCCTTCCAGATATGCAGCATATTCAGGAAGAAAACTTATCTTCCCCACCATTGGGTCCTCCCAACTATCTACAAGTTTCCAAAGATTCTGCCAGTACTAGTAGCAAGAATTCTTCTTGTGACACGGATGACTTTGTTTTGGTGCCACACAACATCTCGTCAGACCACTCATGTGAGAATCTTTTCTGCTTGTACACATTATATTATTTAATCTACTAAACTAGCATCTTTTTTTAAACCCGTATATTACACTTTCTTGCGTAGGGCACCTTTTCAAATGAGCATTTTATTTAGTTGTTTAAATTCTCAGAATTATATTCCTACCTTTCTAAAATTTGCTCAATCATCTTCTATTAAACAGTAAGTTTGGATTCTGAAGGTACTTGAAAACTTTATAGGAAATGATCTCAAATTCTGTTTGTATCCAAACAGAAACAGAGAAACCAGTGAATGAGTACTTATTTAGTAGATGCTCATTCTAGGGACTTTGCTAGTTGTTGTGAAGACCGTAATCCCTAGACTGAATGTAATTAAGTATTAGCTGGCTGCAGAAGGGAAAACATGGACCACAGCAGCAGTGCTGTGGCAGTTTATAACCAGCATTATGAGAACTGAGAGTTACCTTTAAAAGTCATCTAGTACAGTGGTTTTATTTCTTTACCAAAAGTAATTAAAACTTTTAAAATCATGAAACATTTTAAACAAAATAATAGAGCATATACTCAAGGTACCCACTAGGCTGTGTTACTTTTATATAGGTCAGTATTTTGCCATATTTGTCTTAGACGTCTTTTTAAAATACATAAAATGCTGTAAGTCGCCTATGCAGTGGCTCATGCCTGTAATCCCACCACTTTGGGAGGCTGAGGTGGGCGGATCATGAGGTCAGGAGTTTGAGACCAGCCTGACCAACATAGTGAAACCCTGTCTCTACTAAAAATACAAAAATTAGCCAGGCATGGTGGCGCACACCTGTAATCCCAGCTACTTAGGAGGCTGAGGCTGGAGAATTGCTTGAACCTCCTCCAGGAGCACTGGGGTCCCCGGCAGGCAGAGGTTGCAGTGAACCGAGATTGTGCCATTGCACTTCAACCTGGGTGACAGAGAGTGACTCTGTCTCAAAAAACAAACAAAAACAAAACAAAAAAATGCTGTAAGTACAGCTAAAGTGCCTTTTCTCTTTCTGCTCTTGCTAGGGGTATATTCTTCCTGTAGATTTTGTATTTCTACATATAATTGTATCCATACTTAAGATTTTTGTGTTTTTACAGTTACAGGTTGAGCCTGCCAAATTAGAAAATCTGAAATGCCCCCAAATCTGAAACTTTTAGAGTGCCAGCATGATACTCAATGGAAATGCTCACTGCAGCATTTCAGATTTTAGATTTTTGCATTTGGAATGCTCAGTATAATGTAAATATTCTAAAATTCGAAATTCATTCTAATATCTGAATTGTATAATTGTATAATATAACTAAAACACAGTTTATCCATTTCCCTACTGATTTATTTGTTTTTTTTTTTTTTTTTTTTTGGACGGGGTTTCGATCTTTTTTCCGAGCCTGGAAGGCAGGGGTCCGGTCTCAGCTCACTGCAAGCTCCGCCTCCTGGGTTCACGCCATTCTCCTGCCTCAGCCTCCCATGTAGCTGGGACTACAGGCGCCCGCCACCTTGCCCAGCTAGTTTTTTGTATTTTTTAGTAGAGACGGGGTTTCACCATGTTAGCCAGGATGGTCTCGATTTCCTGACCTCATGATCCGCCCGTCTCGGCCTCCCAAAGTGCTGGGATTACAGGCTTGAGCCACCGTGCCCGGCCTCCCTACTGATTTATAGTTGGGTTATTTCTACCTTTTCACTATCCAAAATGTAATGAGCCAGGCATTGTGGTTCACAACCTGTAATCCCAGTAGTTTAGGAGGCTGAGGAGGAAGGATTGCTTGAACCCAGGAATTTGAAACCAGTCTGGGCAACATAGTGAGATTTTTTCTCTACAGAAATAAAAAAGTTAGCCAGGCGTGGTGGTGCACACCTGTAATCAGAGCTTCTCTGGGGGCTGAAGTGGGAGGATCGCATGAACCCCCAATTTCAAGACCAGCCGGGCATCATGGCAAGACCCCATCTTTACCAAAAATAGAAAGTTGGTGTGTGGTGGTGCATGCCTGTAGTCTCAGCTTGGGAGTTTGAGGCTGCAGTGAGCCATGATTGTGCCACTGCACTCCAGCCTGGGCAACAGAGCAAGACCCTGTCTCAAAAAATATATATATATTATAACAGACATTCTTGTGTACATGTCCCAGAACTTCTTCTAACTGAAAACTTAGATATCTACAACTTTGTAATATATTGGTACAAACAACTTGTACTAATATTCTTTTTCATGCAGCCCTAGTGTTATGATGGTGTTCTATATTTTCTTCTAAAGATTTTTTTTCACATATAATTTTACCTGTAATTCATTTTTGTAGATGGAGCAAGGTAGAGATCGGTCAATTGTCCTATTTATTAAATATTTGTCTTTTCTCTACTGATATGCAGTGTCACGTTTGTCATGTCACGTTTGTCATGTCAGCTTGAAATACAGGATGGGGTTTCTTTTTTTTGTCTATATTATAATAATTTTTAAATTTGTGTGTGTCAGTATGTGTGTGTGGTCAGGGAGGGAAGGAGGGGCAGAGAGCAGAGAGCATTTCAGTGTTCTTCAAAATCATTCTGGCTATTCTTGGCCCTTTCCCCCAACATATAGTTTAATTTCGGCTCGATAATTTTATGAAAACCGTTTTGGCATTTTGATGGGAATTGGATTGACTGTATAGTATGACCTATTCAAGGACAGGTAGGTTCTTTACAATATTAAGTCACCTAATTACGAATGTGTATTTCTCCACTTATTTAGGTTTCTTTAATGTGTTTTGATATATTTTTATACTTTTCTATATAAAGAGCATTCACATCTTTTGTTTTATTCTAGTTGTCTTTTTTCTTGTGTGTGCTGGTGTAAATGTTTCAGAACTGCTCCTGTCAAGATCTTCCTGCTGCCAAATCCTAGGGGTCAGTTCTCATTCCTCATTGTCCTGATGTATCCACACTTGTTACAGTTGATCTCGCCCTTCTTTTTAATGATTAAAAATGTGCCATTGTGAAACGTATCGTACATATAAGATGTTTAAAACAGCTATACAGTTTAAAAGTAATGTATAACAAATACCTGAGTGCCCAGCTGATTTTTATCTTTTGTTGGTCTGATTTTCCATCTTTTTGTCTTATTGCTCTAATTTAATTTCATTAATGTTTCTTCTTACCCTTGTAGGGAGTTTTCATTTTATGCCCTCATGTTTTAAATTTTCAGAAGTTTTTTCTCTGAGTATTGTTCTTATTTCAACATGCAGTATATTGTTGTATGCTTCTTGAGGATGGAGAATTTGAAAGTTGCTTGAGAGCTCTGTACATGGGAACGTCTCATTGACAGCAAGCCTCTTTGATGAATGATATGGCGGGGGCAATTCTTGGGACTATTTCCCTTTTGGAGGGCTACTCAGATCCCCCAAAAGACTCATCCAATATTTTGCCTAAAGAGAACCTGATACTATCTGGATTTGCAAAATGGGGGAAGAAGTATGGAGTTCTCAATAGTCAGTGTAAAATTTCATTTAATAACTTTTTTCCACTAATCTTTTGTCAGTGTAGTACCCTTGCTTTTAATTTTTCCTGCTGTTCTGCAGTCCAGAGACCCTCTGTTTTACTCTTTCCCAAGTGTGAATGTACAGTGGGAGATGGGCATTGCCTACCTGCATAAGGTTGGGGAAAGGATATAAAATTCTAACTACTTCTTTTAAAAAGAATTCTGTATAAAAAAAATACGTTGTATTGTGTATGTTTAAGCTATGCAACATGATATTATGAGATATACAAATGGCTTACAATTTTTTGACTTTACGTGAATAGGAAAATGATTTACATTCAGTAGAAACCATCCCTCAAATTTTGAATTTTGATATTTTTCTGTATTAGCAATATGCGGTACAGAACTCTCTTGTGATGCTGGGTGGAAGCAGTGAGCTGCAGCTCCTAGTCAGCCCACGATCACCAAAGTAAACAGCTGATGCTGGAGATACTCAACACTTTATAAAACAGGCTTTGTGTGCCCAATTGTAGGCTAGTGTAAGTATTCTGAGCGTGTTTAAGGTAGCTGGGCTTAGCCATGATGTTCGGTAGGTTAGGTGTATTAAATGCGTTTTGACTCAGGACAATTTCAACCTACAATGGGTTTATTCAAAAGTGACACCATCTTAGGTTGAGGGGCATCTGTCTATAGTAAAATGGTTACTACAGTGAAATAAATTAATGTATTCATCAACTCCCATAGTTACCCACGCCCGCTCCATGAGCAGCTGTAATCTATTCACTTACCAAAAATCCGGAGTACAATACACTATGATGAACTATATTCTGACTGCTTCTAAACAGACTTTTAGTCAATCCTGCTTTTAGTCCTACCTTCAGTGCCACTCTGAAAGGTATCTGGTACTGCTGATTACTCAGCATTTTGGAGTTCTGTGATGTAAATTGGTTTACTTCTGGGCTTTCCAGCTGTCTAAGGTTCTATCTTCTTGGGTCAGCTAAGTCAAATACTACTCGTCCATCAACTTTATACCTTCCAAATTTTGGTGGCTGTGGACTTTTCTGGGTTTTTTTTGATCCTTGTGAGTTTAGGCTCTTCTCTTTTCTGTCCTTCCCGTTGCCTCTATAGTTTCAGAATTACAATATGGTATCAAAACTCTATGAATATTACTTAAAATATGATTATTTACTGGTCCTGACTTAAAATTTTTTTTAAATGTGGTCATTGAAAGCCATTTAAGATCTTTTTGTGAATCTTTTTTGTCCTTAGGATAATCCCACTGGGTATATGCAATCAAATTATTGAGTATCAAAGTTACTTGAGGCCGGGTTCAGTGGCTCATGCTGTAATCTCAGCACTTTGGAAGGCCGAGGTGGGCAGATCACTTGAGGTCAGGAGTTTGAGACCAGCCTAGCCAACATGGGGAAACCCCGTCTCTACTAAAAATACAAAAATTAGCTGGGTGTGGTGGCACACACCTGTAATCCCAGCTACTTAGGAGACTGAGGCAGGAGAATTGCTTGAACCTTGGAGGCGGAGGTTGCAGTGAGCCGAGATCATGCTCCTGTCTGTCTCAAAAATACATAAATTTAAAAAAAAAAGTTACTTGAAATAATTTCCCTCTCGTGATTAAGCTATCAGGTTGCTACATTATTAGATTCTTTTACTTTTGATTTTTAGGGATTTTATTTTCTTTTGATTTAATTTCTTTTGAAAATTATGTATGGTTTCAAACTCAAAGCTATGAAAGAAAATACACTTAGTGAAGTCTAGCTTCTATCCCTGCCTCCTGTCCCTGTTTTCTGAATTCTCCTATAGGCAAGTATTCATTGTCTTTAAATAAAAATGGACTTCCCCTTCGCCCTGCTACTCTTTGTCCCCTTACCCTGATTTATTTTCCTTTATAAAGGTTATTGCTACCTGACATTATTGTGTGTTTTTTTTTTTTTTTTTTTTTAGGCAGATGAAGCATGCAGGTAGCAGGCTTCAGACAGAATAGATTGTAAATATTTCTTATTAGACTTTTTTTTTTTTTTGAGAATGGGGTCTTGCTGTGTTGCCCAGGCAGGTCTCAAACTCCTGGGCTCAAGCTGTTCTCCCGCCCCTGCCTCTCTAAATGATGGGATTCCAGGCATGAACTACCACATCTGGCCTTCTATGACATGTTGTTCAACAACCCATGCAAGACCTGAGAGAGTGTTATGCAGGAGGATGGGGTAATCCGACATTTTATTGAACTAGACTCTGTTTTATGGTCAGTTCTTCTATTATGTTATATACATGTTCTTTGCAAAATTTTGCAATAAACTTATGTCAAAATGGTATTAAGGGCACAACTCTCAGAACCTTTGTCATTGACACAGAAAATGGAACCTGATAAAAACAGTAGCACAGTTTTTGCATGTTTAATGGTGACGAAGTATGTAAACACTGCAATAAATATGATATTTTATTTTGAAGAAGACCTCAAATTTGCTTATAGAAGTGGACATCATGGCCAGGCGCGGTGGCTCAAGCCTGTAATCCCAGCACTTTGGGAGGCCGAGACGGGATCACGAGGGGTCAAGAGAGATCGAGACCATCCTGGCTAACAACGGTGGAACACCCCACGTCTCTACAAAAAATACCAAAAAAACTAGCGGGCGGGCGAGGGTGGCGGGCGCCTGTATCCCAGGCTACTTGGGAGGCGAGGCAGGAGAATGCGTAAACCCGGGAAGGCGGAGCTTTGCAGTGAGCTGAGATCCGGCCACTGCACTCCAATCTGGGTGACAGAGCGAGACTCCATCTCAAAAAAAAAAAAAAAGAATTAGAAGTGGACATCCAAAGAGTTGCAGCCTATGTCTTCAGCTAGGTGTAGTTTTCTGAGGTCATCTATTATTTCTTATAGATGAAATCATAACATAAGCCAATGGTAATTTTGCATTGTGCACGAAAGCCTAATAATCATGTTGGAACAAATTTGTGTTTTTTTAAGCAGATGGTATAACAGGAACTGATTGTACTTTTTTCTCCTTTAGATGATATGCCAATGGGGACTGCTGGCAGGCGTGCTTCAAATGAGTTCTTGGTGTGTGGAGGGTATGTATATTTACATTGTCTTATTAAAATATTTTTCATATTTTATTTTTGTGGGTAAAGTTATAGAACTTAGTGTTCTTGATTTAAGGTTTATTTTGTTTTACAGTCCATTATTTCTTTTTGAGAATGGGGTCTTGCTGTGTTGCCCGGACTGGTAATGCAGTAGTGGCGATTTCAGCTCACTGCAAGCCCCACCTTGGGTTCACGCTATCTTCCTGCCTCAAGCCTCCCGAGTAGCTGGGACTGTAGGCACCTGCCACCACGCCCGGCTAACTTTTTGTGTTTTTTAATAGAGACAGGGTTTCACTGTGTTAGCCAGGATGGTCTCGATCTCCTGACCTCAGATCCCCCCGCCTCAGCCTCCCAAAGTTTGGGATTACAGGTGTGAGCCACCACACCCAGCCTCATTATGTCTTTTCTTGAAAATTTTATTTAAGTTATTTTTTCTTTGAGATGGAGTCTTGCTGTGTGGCCCAGACTGGAGTGCATTGGTGGGATAATTGGCTCCTACAACCTCCGCCTCCTGGGTTCAAGCAATTCCTCCTGTCTCAGCCTCCTGAGTAGTCTGGGATTTACAGCATGTGCCACCACGCCCTGCTAATTTTTTTTTTTTTCTTTTTGAGACGGAGTCTCGTCCTGTCATCCAGGCTGGAGTGCAGTGGCGGGATCTCGGCTCACTGAAACCTCTACCTCCCGGGTTAAAGTGATTCTTCTGCTTCAGCCTCCTGAGTAGATGGAATTACAGGTATGCACCACTGTGCCCGGCTAATTTTTCGTATCTTTAATAGAGACGGGGTTTCACCATGTTGGCCAGGCTGGTCTGACACTCCTGACCTTAGGTAATCCGCCCGCCTCAACCTCCCAAAGTGCTGGGATTACAGGTGTGAACCACTGCGCCCGGCCTGAAATTTTAATTGTGATAAAAAACACATAAAATCTACTATTTCAGCCATTTTCATGTTGATAGTTCATTAGTGTTAAATATGTTCATATTGTTATGCAACTAATTTCTAGGACTTTTTCATTTTGCAAATATGAAACTCTGTACTCATTAAACATTACCTCCCCATTTCCCCTACCCCTCAAGGCCCTGATAATAACCACATTCTGCTCTCTGTTTCTATGAATTTGACTACTTTAGATACCTCATGTAAGCGAAACCATATAGCATTTGTCTTTTTTGTGACTTGGCTTATTTCACTTAGCATAATGACTGTAAGGTTCATTCATGTTGTGGCATGTGACAGGCCTCTTCCCTTTTTATAGCCGAATTATATTCTATGGTGTGTATATGCTGCATTTTGTCTCTCCATTCATCCATTGATGAACATTTGGGTTGCTTCAACCTCTTTGCTATTGTGCATGCTGTTATGAACATGAGTGTGTAAATATCTCCTTAAGATCCTGCTTTCAGTACCTTTGGATATGTACCGAGAAGTGAGATTGCTGGCTCATATGGTAATTTTGTGTTTAATTTTTTAAGGAATTGGCTAAATTTTCCATAGCGGTTGTGCCATTTTACAATCCCACCAACAGTGCACAGGAGTTCCCGTTTCTCCACATTCTCACCAGCATTTGTTATTTTCTATTTTTTTGATAGTAGCCATCCTAATTAATGAGCGTGATGTGATACCTCAGTGTGATTTTGATTTGCACTTCTTTAATGATTAGTGATGTTGATTGAGCATCTTTTCTTATATGTCTTAGCCATTTGTATGTCATCTTTGGAGAAATGTCCAGTCAAGATCTTTGCTTATTTTTAAATTGAGTTATTTGGGTTTTTGTTGTTGGGTTTTAAGAGTTCTCTCTATATTTTGGATGTTAGCGTCTTGTCAGGTATGATTTGCAAATATTTATTTCCATTCTGTTGGTTGTGTTTTGACTCTTTGTGTCCTTTGATACATGAAAGTTTTTTTAAGTTTGAGGAGGTCATATTTGTCTATTTTTTGTTTTGTTGCCTGTGCTTTTGGCATCATATTCAAGAAATCATTGCCTACTCTTAATGTCATTAAGTTTTCCCTCCATGTTTTCTTCTAGGAGCTTTATAGTTTTGGGTATAATGTTCATGCCTTTAATCCCCTTTGAGTTAATTTTTGTATATGGTGTATGATAAGATTCCAGCTTTACTCTTTTGCATGTGGATATCCAGTTTTCCCAGCACTATTTGCTGAAGAGATTGTCCCTGTCCCATTGTGTGGTCTTAGCATTCTTGTCTGAGATCATTTCACTGTATATGCAAGAGTATCTTTTTTTTTTTTTGAGATGGAGTTTCGCTCTTGCTCACTCAGGCTGGAGTGCAGTGGTGCGATTTTGGCTCACTGCAGCCTCCGCCTCCCAGGTTCAAGCAAGTCTCCTGTGTCAGCCTCCAGGGTAGCTGGGATTACAGGTGCCTGCCACCACGCCTGGCTAATTTTTTGTATTTTTAGTAGAGACGGCGTTTCGCCATGTTGGTCAGGCCTGTCTCGAACTCCTGACCTCGTGATCCACCTGCCTCAGCCTCCCAAACTTTAAACAATTTGATGTACTCTAAGGCACCCCTTGAGTAGCACCAGTACCTTGGGGTCCCTCAGTGCACAGTTTGGGAACCATGGGGATAAGCAAATCTTGTACAAACTTGTTTCTTTCCTTTCTTTGAGGATATGGGAATTTAAATACGGGAATTGTATATTGCCAGATTTTCACTTCTTTTGATTTGCTGCCTTTTTTTCTTCTTGAGTCATCTTTGGCTCCTTTTTGGCTTCTCTTCCTATGGTCTAATTCTTGAACTTTCCTTTGCCAGTGATTATGCATTTTTCTCTAAAGCAGCACTTCCTAGTAACAGTGCCTCCATTAGCTACATGGCAGTTTTCAGTACACGTAGGGAATATCTATTCCTTGCGCATCCAGACAAAAAATAGGCACAGGCATAGGAATTAGGATATCAGAATTCTGAAAACTGGTTGTTGCCAGACATTGATGGAGGCCAGCTGTGTACACAGCCCATGGTGCATTAGAGTGTACCATCTGAGTGGATTTCTAACTTTCTGATTGCTTCCCTTTACATGAAGTAACTCCTTTCTCATTGGAACCTTGCCAGCTGTGTGCCTGTGTGCCAGACGAGGCTCTTTTCTGATGCTGCTTTGGCCTCTGGGTAATGAGCAGGTTATCTCCACTTGGCTCCCCATCGCTTACACAGCCTCATGAGTGTGAGCTCACAGCTGTGGCTTAGCATTAGTCTGCTAGATTGTGTTTCACAGAAGCTCTTATATGCATAGATCCTTCCTTCTTCTCTCCCTGTGTCCCTTGATACATTACTTCCAGCTGAACCCTTGCTTTCCTGATTACTTGTCAGCCTTTCAGGGTTTACTCATGGAGTCTTCTGAAACAAAGACGCAACTAGGGATCTCCTGATGTGAAGATTGTGAATTTGAGGAAGTTATCATGCTATCACCTAGTGTTTATTTGTCCTTTTGCATTTGTGCTTTTCTCTCAGCACAAGTAGAATAACATGTGATTGTGCTACCGTGTGTCCAGGCTGCCTCATCTTTCAAGTATTTCATACGGGTCCAAGATGACGTTTCACACAGAGAATGTTGTGAATTGCAGGCCCTAGTGGAGGTGAGGAAGATGTGCTGGAGACTCAGGACATACATAGACTTTCCATCTCCTTACCTTGGACTCAGGGAGTTGAGTGATGGTTAAATATTGGTGTTAATACTAAGTTGTACAGGAAAATGGCTGCAGTTGTCTTAACTAGCTGGAGGTCTGGAATTTGTCCAGGGAAGACTTTCTAAACTCTGAGCAAGTCTGCTCGCAGGTCCTGTCCAGAGACTATCTGAGATAACATTTGCAGAACGTGGTCCATGGTTGTTCATGTCCTCATGTTGGTGGTGGGAGGAACCAGAGGTGTTAGAGAAGCCAGCTGAGATTACCTGAGAAAGGTGCTTAGAATTATGAGGTTGCTAAGTTTACTTCTTTGGGTACCTTTATTTAGCTTCTTCCCTTTGGAGATTAACCAGTACAGGAAAAATTTTAGAGCTTAGTAATGTGTATTTAAAAAAAAAATTCCCTGATGTGCTTCAGCAGGGAATGAATGCTTCAAAAACACTGTTTACTTACTAAATTGAAACAATAGAAAAATGGCATTTGTTCATTCACATTCTGATATTTGATGGCTGTGTTGTTATTCTGTTGTTAAGGAACTTGGGTTGTCAGACCTGTGAGTGCACTGGCTTGCAGACATCAGAGCTGATTAGTGAAGTACTGTTAAGCTGTTTTAGTGGTAGTAGAGGGTTTGTGTTTTGGGGCTTTTGTTTGTTTTTAGGGTGTAGATAAACTGAAGAATCAGATGTATAGATATTAAAAAATTCATTATTGTATTTAAAGATACTAAATGGAAATACCTAAATCAAAATGTGTAGAGAGAGCTCATAGAAACACACTAAATGGTGTATCATTAGGAATTCCACTTGGCTGTAAACCACAGGGTCCTAACTGTAGTGTGGTTGAACGCTAAAGGTTTTCTCACATGAAAAAAAGTCACGATAAGTAGTTGTTTCCTTGGTTTCTGTGGCTCAAGGAAGTTATATGTCTTCAGGTCTTTTGCCCTTTTTTTTGTGGTTCAAAGGTACCTGCTGAAGCTCCAGCAAGTATGCTCACATTTTGAGCAGGAAGAATGAGTAGAAGACTTCTGTTTATATCTCAGTGACCAAGAAAGACATATGGCTATCCTTGGCTGCAAGGGAGTCTGGGATATGCTACAATTAATTGGGCATATTATTGCTACTAATAAAATTTAAGTTATTTTTTAGTAAGACATAAAAGCTGAATGGATATTGGGAAAGCAGCTAACATCTCCACTACAGAAGTGTTTTGTATTTCTTTTTACTTTGAAATAAGTCATCTCTCTTAGGGCCCAGTGTTATCTCTGATATGTTTTAGGATATATTGTAAAGTGAATTGAAAGTGATATGAGAACATTCTATTTCTGAATTTATGAAAAGTGAGGAAAGAGGCTATTAAAGAAACCAAAGACTGACACTACAAAATGTGGACGTCAGATGAGTTGCATGCTTTGAGAATTTGCACAATGTGTTCTCCTTCTTCATAAAGTCAGAGCTCTTTGGGAATGCTTACAGCATTCATGACTTTTGCAAACATTCCAGTCATCTTTGCTGTTGAACTTCCTGTTCTTTTCCCCGGCATATTTTCCTAGATATTTTTTCTCTCACATAGTAATGAATAGCAGAATGTGAGTGGATGAGACAGTTTTGCTGACCTGTGGACTTTTCCTGTTGTTGTAAAGGAACTTTTTTCCAGGTTGTTGTAATTCTTAGTCCTCAATATGCATATGAATGCCAGGAGTTTTTTAGATAATAAATGTGAGTTTTTTGGCTTTATATATATTGATATATATATATATATATTTTTTTTTTTTTTTTTTTTTGAGACGGAGTCTCGCCTCTGTCACCCCAGGCTGGAGTGCAGTGGCGTGATCTCGGCTCACTGCAAGCTCCGCCTCCCGGGTTCACGCCATTCTCCCGCCTCAGCCTCCCAAGTAGCTGGGACTACAGGGCGCCCAGCCCATCCACGCCCGGCTTGTTTTTTGTATTTTTTAGGTAGAGACGGGGTCTTCACCATGTTACCAGGATAGTCTCGATCTCCTGACCTCGTGATCCACCCGCCTCGGCCTCCCAAAGTGCTGGGATTACAGGCTTGAGCCACCGCGCCCGGCCGGCTTTATATATTTTTTAACAAGATCATTTCTTATTAAGGTAGTGGAGTGACCATTTGGCTCTTTCTAGAATTTTCTCTAAATATAACTAATGGGTCAAATGAAAGAAAAACAGTCCTACCACTGTTTCTTTCCTTTTTCAATAAATTGTGATTGCAGGCAGTGTCAGCCTACCGTGTCACCTCACAGTGAAACAGCACCAATTCCAGTACCTACTCAAATAAGGAATTATCAGCGCATAGAGCAGAATCTTACATCTACTGCCAGCTCAGGCACAAATGTACATGGTTCTCCAAGGTAAGTTTGTAGCTTTTTTCTTGCTTAATTCTTTTTCTTCTCCTTTAAAAAAAATTTTTATTGTTATTGGAAGACTGTTACTTTCCATGGCATAGTTAGTCTCTTACATGTGTGTATACTGGAAATGCACAAAATTGAATAAAAACGTTTTATAATTGATAATTTAAATGATATTTAAGTTTAACTTGATAATATAGTATATGTATATATTTATATATTTTATTTATATATGTTAAGTATACATGTGTATAGATACATATACTTATAAAGTATAATTAGTTTTAAGAATTGAGGAAGAACTTATTAAAAAAATGAAATCCCACCAGTTGTAGCAGATTATTTACATATTATTTACTTTTTCCCCGATCCTGAGACCTTACTAAGATCATATTAAAGGAATGACAAAGGTACAAGTCCACACAAACACATGAAATAAGAATAGATTATTCTTTTTTTTTTTTTCTTTTTCTTTTCTTTTTTTTTTGTGCTTTAGAGATGGGGTCTCACTACGTTGACCAGGCTGGTCTTGAACTCATGGCCTCAAGCGATCCTCCCATCTCAGCCTCCCAAAGCGCTGGGATTACAGGTGTGAGCCACCATGCCTGGCCAAGCATAGATTATTCTTATTCTATTCAGTGAGAGAGAGAGTGCAGTAAATTTCTGGAAAACAGAAGGGGATAGAAGAATGGTACTTGATTTAGCATGGCAGACGTAAGTATGCATATAATCAGGGATTCTGACATAACGAGAATCACTGTGACCCACAGTATCCTGAGAGAGACCTAAATCTCAGAGAACTCGATAGAGTGGAGGGAGGAAATAGCACTTTGACTTCTGGTAACTAATTCTACATATATGTATAGTCATGGACATACTCTACATATACAGGCCTCTCCTGTGTATGAAATTGCATTTACACAAAGTTGTTAACTGTTACGATACCAAAGGATGAAAAATAAGCCAAGTGGCCACCAGTAATGAACTAATTTATTATGATCCATCTCTGATAATGGAATGTTACACACCTTCCATTCCACAAAGAGTGAAGGAGCTCCCTCTGTGCCAAAGTGGAAAGATTTCCAAGTTATATTATAAAATGAAAAAAGTAAAGTGATTGACAGTATATTATGCAGTGGTTCTCAAAGCTTAGTCTGTGGATCCCTTCAGAGGGTCATTGAGATCAAAACTATTTTCATACTACAAATTAGGACATTATTTGCTTTTTTCATTGCATTGATACATGCACTGATAGTACAAAAAGCAAAGATGGATAAAGCTATTGGAACCTTTGCCTGAGTCAGGGTGGTGATACCCAAACAGTACAGTACTATTAGTCTTTGTATTCTTCTCCACCACACACTTGCGGTACAAAGGAACGTCCTTAATGAGGCAGTAAAAATTAATATATTTCTTTAAAAATCTCAATCCTTGAGTAGGATGTACACATAGAGCACTTTTGCCACATATTAGAGTAGTTATCTTAGGAAAAGCACTGGTATGATTGTTCTAGTTCCAAGTTGAACTAGCTGCTTTGTCATAGAGTACCCTTTTTACTTTAAAAAATGGCTGACAAACGATGGTTATGGGTATCAAGCAGCCATTTTGTCAAAAATGGTAAGTCCACTTTGAAGAAAACAAGTGATGATAAATGTCAATGATAAAACTTGAGCTTTTAAGCAAAAATTAGAATGTTGGAAAAATTCAGTGATCAATACAAGTTTGACAGCTTCTGTTATACCTTGACAGGTGTTTCTTTTAAAATTGAGGGTGATATTTTGTTATGAATATTACTTTTTGATATTGCTTAATGTATCAACATTGGAATATCTGCATAACTCAGTGAACCAATGTTTTCCAAATTACTAAATGGTTAAAAAAAATCATGCACAGGTAAAAGTTTCATTCAAAGTGCAAGATTCTTTGCAAAAGAATGGAGTCTCGCATAATGGAGTATGAGTTCATTAATCTGGTTTCAGATCCACATTGCAGTCAACCTTTTAGCAACAACCACTTGCTGAATTTTGGTGTAGTATCAAAGAAGCATGTCACAGTTAACCTGAAAAGGCTACCAAAATATTCCTTCCTTTCACAGTTACACATCTGTGGAAGGCTGGATCCTCCTCATATACTTTACTCAAAATAACGTGTCTTACAACAGATTGAATGCAGAAGCAATTGTGAGAATCCAAATGTCTTCTGTGAGCCATTAGAAATTTATAAAAATGTATAAAATAATGCCATGCCTCTCACTAATTTATTTTGTTTTGGAAAATATGCTTTTTTTCCATAATCTTATATTACATGGAATAAGCTTATTAATGAGTTAATAATTCTTAAAATTTCTCAGCTTCATTTCGAATACAGTAAATATCAATAGATACAAGTTACATAAACAGAACTCTCTGAGGTCTTCAGTAATTTTTAAGAGTATAAAGAGGACCTAAGACCAAAAAGATTCCAAATGGTTGGTATGTAACATACCACCTTTGGTGTTAAAACATGGTGAAAATAAGAGTATATATTTAGTTTGTTTTGTGTATGCATTAAGGAACTCTGAAAGAATACACTAGAAACTAAGAATCATGGTAACCTTTTGAATAGAATTGGGGAAGTGTTGGGTATTAGGCAAATAGAATAGAAAAATGAGAGGGAGACCTCACTCTTTTTATGCATCTTGTAATTGTTCCATGTGACTACATTACATATTTCTGAAAACTACTCCATGGCATATTGTTAGGAAGTTTCACAAAATGCAGGAATAAAGAGAGAGTTCTAGAACCTTTTATAAAAGGAATAATTTACTTTTCAGATCTGCAGTGGTGCGAAGGTCCAACACCAGCCCCATGGGCTTCCTCCGGCTGGGATCATGCTCCCCGGTGCCAGCAGACACAGCACAGACAGTTGGACGAAGGCTCTCCACTGGGTCTTCTAGGCCTTACTCACCTTCCCCTTTGGGTAAGGAGAGTTTAAAAACAGTTGTTTTCAACCTTTTTTTCACTGTAATAAATCTGACGTTACACATTCTCTTTAGGAACTTTGGCTCATGATGGCAGTGATTCTCAGCTGACTGGAGGCCATACCCCGTCCTTCCATCTTTACCCCAATCCCAACTCCCTCTTTTCTTTTTTTCTTTTTCTTTTTCTTTCTTTATTTGAGACAAGGTCTCACTCTGTTGCCTAGGCTGGAGTGCAGGGGCATGATCTTGGCTCCGCCGAGATGCAGCCTCCGCCTCCTGGGTCCAAAGGAGCTTTCCACCTCAGCCTCCCAAGTAGCTGGAATTACAGGCGCATGCCACCACACCCAGCTAATTTTTTTTATTTTTTTATTTTTATAGAGGCAAAGTTTCATTATGTTACCCAGACTGGTCTCAAACTCCTGGGCTCAAGCAATCCACTCGCTTTGGCCTTCCAAAGTGCGGGGGTTATAGGTGTGAGCCACCGCATCTGGCCCCAATTCTTTTTGAGAATCTCTGTATAAATGTGTTAGGATCTCTACTGGAAATACAATAATATAAATGTAACTTATGTATAAAAAGCGTCTCCTTTGGGATTGGGCTCTGAATGCAAAGTCAGAAACCCTAGGTTGAAGTGCATAAAATGCCTTTTCTACTTATCACTCATACTTATAAGGATTACTGTATAGCAGCTCTGGGTCACACCAGAAACCTTCCAGTTCCGGTAGGCATGTGGTGGCAGCTTCGTTACAGATCTTCTCACTTCTCCTGGTGCTGTAATAAGGAGAATGCCAATACAAACAACACCAGCAACAACAAAAACCCTCCCAAAAGGAGAAACAAACCGTATACCGTATCTTCAGTGAAACCAAGAGACAGAAATAAAAGCTCAAACTCCAGAAATATGTGTAAGAGAGCCAAAGCCACTGAGACTACAGCAGCTGTATGAGAGGCAGCATTGAGGTGGTGGGAAGAACAGGTGGTGCACACAGGGCCCAGGGGTGGCAGATCTCAAAACTGCAAAAAAATGCTTCCAGGGGAGGGCCCCACCTTCAGTCAGAACTGCTGAAGTAAGACTAAGATGTAACAGGAAGAAATCTGAAGAGACAGAAAGAGAAGGGCTTTCCTCAGGAGCCCTATTTAAAACAAGACAAAACACAATGATAGTGTTGAAAAGGAAAAAAGTTCAAATTGCCACATTACCTGTTGCAATGGTTTCAAAGCTGTTTTTAGATGAAAAATCTTTGAATAAAATTTTGGCCCTTTCTCACTCCTGCAGCAGCCCCTGAGGTACTTCAGGGTCTCCAAAGTCAAGGTCCAGATCTCATTCTTGCACACAAGAATAAAGCCCTTCCCTAAGGATCGGATCTCTGCCCGCTGCCTGATCCCTTGGAATGAGCCCTCTTGATGTAGACATATGTTTCTCATCTGCTTAAACTCCCCTGAAGCCTTCCCTAACTCTCTCTATGTTAGTTTTAGTTCTCAGAGAAATGGATGCATAGAACATGCTATATACAAGAGAGTGACTTGGGGAAACTCCTATGAAGAATGAAGGGGAGGAGCAGGAGGAAGCAGGGAGGGCCCTCAGACCAAACATAGGTCCAACACCTGGAAAAGGAGGGCAGGAAGGAGGAAGAACTGGCCAGGAAGAGTCTCAGACTGTGATGTAGGTCTAAGAAGGTTTCAGCCAGACTGAAGGAGTAGCCCCAAGCACTGGATTGTCTTGTTAGAGGAATTCCCTGACCTGCTTCAACAAGCCTGAATTAGTGCCCCACCATATGCAGTCACTGGCTGGGAACAGCTCCTGGGGGAAGCCTAGCCTTGGCACCAGTGTGGTAGATCCAGAGGGACTGCAGCTGGGGCTGTCTGTTAGCCGTGCCCGCAGCTCCCCAAGCCCGGACACTTTGTACAAACTCTTTGTACTTATCTGTCTTATGGACATACTTGTTAGGAGCATTTGTTTGTTTATGTGGCTTTTCTTCCCCTAATGTTCTTGTTTCAAGGCAGATTATACGATACTTTTTATCTTAGTGTGCAGCGCCCAGCAGATTGGTCCTCCGGTAAATGTTAGTTGAACCAAACCTTTGTTCCTTAAAATTTTCTAACCGGTAATTTACTGTGTAATTTGTGCATGTGTTGCCTGTTGCTGTCTTTTATTGGTTTTGGATATTTTTCTTCCTTTTCCCATCTTTTTTTTTTTTTTTTTTTTGTAGTTGGTACCATTCCTGAGCAATTCAGTCAGTGCTGCTGTGGGCATCCTCAGGGCCATGACTCCAGGAGTAGAAACTCCTCAGGTAGGAGAATGTATTTGGTTTATTAATAATTTGAATTGTATTATAAATGGATTTGAGTTGTGTTTTTCTAGTCTTCTCAAAGAACAGAATTGATATGAATTATCTCCTCTGCCATCCTGATTTTTAGAATCTTGGTCTAATGTGGTTTAACATATCATAAAGCTAATCTAATACCTCCTTTTGAATATGAGATTCCTTAATGAAAGTAAGTCTTAGGAATTAAATAACTTGGCTAAGTTTTGCTTATTTTCACATAGATAATGAAAATTATTTGCGAAGTGAAATTTCATTACTTTAATACTATTGATTAATACCTTTTTTTTTTTTTAAATTGGAGTCTCGCTCTGTCGCCTAGGCTGGAATGTAGTGGCACGATCTTGGCTCACTGCAACCTCCGCCTCCTGGGTTCAAGCGATTCTTCTACCTCAGCCTCCCAAGTAGCTGGGACTACAGGCGAGCGCCACCATGCCCGGCTAACTTTCGTATTTTTAGTAGAGATGGGATTTCACCATATTGGCCAGGCTAGACTCGAACTCCTGACCTTGTGATCCTCCTGCTTTGGCCTCCCAAAGTGTTGGAATTACAGGTGTGAGCCACCGTTTCGGAATGATTAATACTGTTTGGTAAGAGCCATGAGTCAGCATCAGATAAAATAATACAGATTTTTTAAATTATATGTATATGCCTGAAAATATATGTGTGAATCGCAGCTTTATAAGTTAAATTCTATTGTATGGATATTTGAGGAGCTGACCAGTTAGAGGACTCCTGTGTTACTTAGAAGAGCACTCTTTAACGAAGCTTAAATAACTTTAGTCAGACCATAAGATTTTAACGCGAATTTATTTTTATAAAGCGCAGTAAAATTAAATATCAAGTTTGGAATGAGGTGAAGCCAGGAGTGGTCAACAGCAAAGCTTCTGTTGGTTTCTGTTTTTAGAATAATGATGGTTAGGTCACTAAGAATATTTGCATGCTCTTAATGTTAATTCTTGATAGTTTGGCTTCTAAGAAACTCCGAAGAGTGTGTAACTGGAGTCAAGGATTAGTGGACCTTGGGTTGGCAACAAGGTTTGTAGGGGGGAAAAGGGGACCTTATCTCCTAGACTCTTGATTTGGTTTCCCCTGAGAGGCAAGGATATCTGCGGGCAAGTGTTCTCTTTGTGAGAATATGGATGCTTTCGGTTTTAAGTGTGTAATTTAATGGACAAAGTACAGAAAATTCACATGCTTGTTATTTTTACACAAAGTAAAATTTGGGAAAGGTCTGTTATCTTATGATCTTCTTTCCTACACATTATATTTATTTGTTTATTTTGGTTTTTTTGAATAAGGAATTATTTTGGGTTAGTTTGAGTTTTCTTTTAGTTGCTGTGTGAGAAAAGAGAATAATTACATAGATTTACCAAGGTATGTATTCATATAGAGTAAAAATCATCCTGTTCAATGTAGGTTTTTGTTGTATTCATTAACTTTAATCACTAACGATATTGCTCTCTTTGGTGCTAATCAGACCTTGCATTAATCTGAGTTATTTACTAGCTACTGATTAAAAACAGCGAGTAACCCATAATCATTAAAATCTGTCTCCTGAGAGTATGAACAATGGATTTGTTTTGCAAAGGATGGCAGAAAAATAGTCTCTTGCCAAGTAAATCACTTTTAGAATGTCTTATGAAAAATAAGATCTTTATCAGAATTCTCATTTTAAAAACTGTCTTCTTAATTTTTACATTTTTGCACTGCACTTCTTCACTTTGGGTTAACGTTACATTTGTTTTCTTGTTAGGTTCTCCAGTGCCACAAGCTCAGTCACCACAGTCCCTCTTATTGGGTGCTAGACTGCAGAGCGCCCCCACCCTCACTGACATCTATCAGAACAAGCAGAAGCTCAGAAAGCAGCACTCTGACCCCGTGTGCCCAACCCATGCTGGGGCTGGGTACAGCTACTCACCTCAGCCCAGCCGGCCTGGCAGCCTTGGAACTTCTCCCACCAAGCACTTGGGGTCCTCTCCACGGAGTTCTGACTGGTTCTTTAAAACTCCTTTGCCAACAATCATTGGGTCTCCTACTAAGGTGTGTTTATTAAACCCTTTTGTAGGTTAGGAACTAGTATAGTACTTTATGGAAAGGATTCATTATGAGAATAGCTATAATTTATTTATTTCATTTTTTGAGACAGAGTCTTGCTTTGTTGCCCAGGCTGGAGTACAGTGGTGCAAGCTCAGTTCACTACAACCTCTGCTTCCCAGGTTCAAACCATTCTGGTACCTCAACCTCCTGAGTAGCTGGGATTACAGGCATGTGCCACCTTGCCCAGCTAATTTTTTTTGTGTTTTTAGTAGAGATGGGGTTTCACCATGTTGGCCAGTCTGGTCTTGAACTCCTGGTCTCAAGTAATCTGCCTGCCTCAGTCTCCCAAAATGCTGGAAGTACAGGTGTGAGCCACCGCTCCTGGCCAATAATAGTTATAATGAACACTTTCTATGTGCCAGATGCAATGTAAGTACTTTACTTGCAGAATTCTTTTTGTGTATGATCCCATTTAAACCTGATAAAAGGAAATTGAGGCTTAGAGAGTTTAAATGAACTGTGCAAGGTCACTCAAGCTGTAAATAGAGCTGCCAGTGTTTGAATCTGGGTTTGACTGACGCCAGAGTCCATACTCCTGCCAGGTCTGACCCGCAGACCCTGACGAAGCAGTGGATGAAAAAATGCACTCCAACACATTCAGTGAAGGAGTGGGCTAGGGGACCGGGCCGTTCACAGAAAGAGTTGTAGCTGCCATGGCTCTGACATGCTAGTGCTGCAGGCATTTATTTAGTACAGATTTAATGACAAAGGCCTTGAGTCAACATACTTGTGGGTAATTGCGTGTAGATGATTAAAGGCCAGGTTCCAAGGCCTAAGTAAACTAACTTATCTAGATCAGTTTTTTTTCATCCCCTTGTTACCTAACCTAACCTGTCAGGCACCGGATAAAAGAAACTGGCTGCCTTCAGCTAAATCCTAGCTTTTGTAAAACCTCTCGGCCTTCCAAGAAGGTTTGTATCTTTCTACCATTTTTCCCACCACGCTGACCAATACTTCTGACTACTGGGTCACACAAACCTTCCATTACTGAATAGTTCATGCATTATATTAACTAGTTTACATATATATATGTCTCTTTAGACCACAGCTCCTTTCAAAATCCCTAAAACGCAAGCATCTTCCAACCTGTTAGCCTTGGTTACTCGTCATGGGCCTGCTGAAGAACAATCCAAAGATGGGAATGAACCACGGGAATGTGCCCATTGCCTCTTAGTGCAAGGAAGTGAGAGGCAGCGGGCTGAGCAGCAGAGCAAGGCAGTGTTTGGCAGGTAAAAGACTGTTTCCATTCTAGCCTTAAACATGAAAACTGTAATAGTAAAACAAATAGATTTCTATTATAAAAGCAGCAAGACTACATTAGTATAGCAGGTGATTTATGTCATATGGTTATTGATATGTACAGCATACATTTAGAATCTCTGAAAACCATAGATGCTTCCTGTAACTGTGTAAGTACATAGTTCTTCCTGAACTTCTTGAATATTCTATTTCTGTCCTTTATTTTTATTATTGAAGTTTATCTCTACCCTGAATTGTTTGGTATCTATTTCTTGTTTCCTCATTCTCTAACTTCCTATTAACCCTTCTAGTTTTAAAAAGTATCGTTTTCCTTTATTAAAAACATCACCATTCTTTTTAGATCTGTCAGTACTGGGAAGTTATCAGATCAACAAGGAAAGACTCCTATAGGTGGACATCAGGGCAGCACAGACAGTTTAAATACAGAACGACCAATGGATATAGGTAAGAAAAATGTAGTTTCTTTTTAGGCAGATAATTTGCTAGCATATGTATTAGTTTCTTACTGCTGTTGTAACAAATCACCACATGCCTGGTGGCATAAAATAACACCAATGTATTATTTTACAGTTCTGGATGTCATACCTATCCTCTCATCTTCCTCCTCAGTAGCCCATTCACAGCAGGAGCTTATTCAGTATCTTGATGAGCAGCAGTCTGTGAGTTATTAATAGAAGGAGTTCTGACAAAGATTTTTTTTTGTCAGTAGGATAATACTGGTCGAAGTTGGCCTAAACCTACATGTACTCCTGAGCATTTACTTTACAGTGACTGGATTTTATAAAGACCCATACATCACTGAGACCCCTGAACCTTTTGGAGTTGCTCCAGAGACTGTATGTTCATAACCACCCATACATATCTAGATTACTTGGCCTGCGTGTCAAAAAACAAAAACAAAATGCAGATTCTAGACTCTTAATTCCGTATTCCAGACTTGCTTGCTTAAATTTTCTGGGGGTTTTTAGGAATCAATATATGTAATACACTCCCAGGTGATTATTGTGGACACTCAAATTTGAGAATCACTATTGTAATCTACTTGGTTTTTTTTCTCTATGATTTTTTAATTTTCCCCACGAGCATCCAAAGGAGGAAATATCTGAGCCAGCATGGTTTCTAACCCAAAGAGAATACTGTAGGATTTAATATTTCACTGTACTGTCTTCTTCCCTTCAGTTTCTAAAGAGAAGTCTGATGTAAATCTTACCCTTGTTCTCTATAGGTGAGGTGTGTTTTTGTCTTTGGCTTCTTTCAGAATTTTCTCTTTGTCTTTGATTCTCTGAAGTTTGAATATGATATGCTTAGATGCAGATTTTTTCATATTCGTTCTGCTTGGTGTTTTCTGTTTCCTAGGTCCGTGGTTTGATTCTGTCATTAATTTTGGAAGTTTTTCAGCCATTATTACTGCTTTGAATGTTTCTTCTGCTTTTCTCTCTCATTCTTCTGGTATTCCCATTAAGTATATGTTCCACTCTTATAGTTGTCCCATTGGTCTTAAGAGTCTCATGCTCTGCTGACTGAGCTAGCCAGGCACTGGCTCCATTGTTCTTAGTCTGTTGTTTTTTCTTCTTCTTCTTTTCATTCTTCTTTCTCTTTGCTTTTTAGTTCAGGAAGTTTCAGGAAGATATTGATGTATCTTTAATCTCACTGATTCTTTCCTTGGCAAAGTCCAGTCTACTGATGAGCCCATCAAAGGCATTCTTTGTTTCTGTTACCGTGATTTTGATTTTTAGCATTTCTTTTAGACTCTTTCTGAGTTTCCGTCTGTCTATAGCATGTTGTCCACTTTTTCCATTGGAGCCCTTAGTATATTAAATTATCATTACTTTAAATTCCTAGTGTGATATTAAATAATTCCAGTATCTCTGCCATATGTGAGTCTGGTTCTGATGTTTGACTTGCTCTCTCTTTTCAAACTGTATTTTTGCCATTTAGCATGCCTTTTAATTGAGGCCGAGTATGATATACCTTGTTTAAAAACTGAGTTAAATAGGCCTTTAGTATGAGGTTTTTTGTTTATCTGGCCAGGAGTTAAGCTTTATTTAGCATTTGCCGTAGCTGTGGGTATCAGAGGCTAAAATTTTCTCTGGTATCCTTGTTTTTGTCTCTCCTGTTGTCTTTGGGTTTCCCTATACACTCCTTAAATTGCATCTGGACCTTGCCTAACTCTGTATTTTCTTCCGACAGCTTTATAATTCTAATTTTAAAAGTGTAAGATGTAGCTCTTACACTTACGTCTGTGGTTCAGTTTGACTTAATTCTTATGGATGATGTGGTGAAGGGATCCAGCTTTATTCTTTTGGATGGGCTATTCCGCGGTCGCAGCACCATTGCAGATTATTCTTTCCCTGTTGTGTTGTTTTGCTATTTTTGCTAGCCTTGTCAAAAATTGGTTGACCATTGATGGGTTAGGTTTTGTGTCCCCACCCAAATCTTATCTTGAAATGTAATTCCCTTAATTTCCATGTGTCAAGGGAGAGACCAGGTGGAGGTAATTGAATCATGGGGGCAGTTTCCCCCATGATGTTCTGGTGATAGTGAGTTCTCACGAGATATGATGGTTTTATAAGGGGGCTCTTCCCCACTTTGCTCGGCATTTCTCCTTCCTGCTGCCTTGTCAAGAAAGTGCCTTGCTTCTCCTTTGCCTTCCACCATAATTGTAGGTTTCCTGAGGCCTCCCCAGCCATACTTAACTGTGAGTCAATTAAACCTCTTTCCTTTATAAATTTCCCAGTCTTGGGCATTATTTATAGCAGTAGGAAAACGAGCTAATACAACCATAAATTTGTTTATTTCTGGACTCAACTATTTCATTGATACATATGTCAATTCTTGCTGGTACCATACTACCTTGATTACTGTAGCTTTGTCTTAAGTTTCAAAATCAGGAAATAGGAGGTTTTTTTTGTGCTTTTTCAAGATTGTTTTGGTTATTAGGGGTGTCTTGAGTTTCCATATGAATTTTTGCATCATCTTGTCAGTTTCTGTAGAGAGACTGGCTGGGTTTTTGATGGAGATTGCATTATTAGATCAATTTAGTGAATATTGAAGTCTTTCTTAGTCCATTTTGTGCTGCTATAACAGAACATCTGAGACTGCATAATTTATAATGAACAGAAGTTTACTTTCTTACCATTCTGTAGGCTGAAAGTCTAAGATCAAGGCACTTATTCTGGTGAGAGTCTTGCTGCTTTGTCACATAGTGGAAGGCAGAAGGTCAGGAGAGGGCTTGTCCTTCAACCTCAATTCCTTTTATAATGGCATTAATCTATTCATGAGGGCTTTTGGGTCTTGTTTCCTCTTAGTCTGGTCAAAGGTTTGTTAATTTTATTTATCTTTTCAATAAACCACTTTCATTTCCTTGATCTTTGGTATTGTTTTCTTAGTTTCAATTTTGTTTATTTGTGCCCTGATTTTTATTATTTCTTTTCTTCTAGTAATTTTAGGTTTGGTTTGCTCTTGCTTTTCTAGTTCTTTAAGATGCATTGTTAGGTTGTTTGAAGATTTCTTCTTTTTTGATGTGTAAGCACTTTTAGCTATAAATTTCCCGCTTACTACTGCTTTCACTGTAATCCCAAAGGTTTGGTATGTTGTGTTTCCATTATTATTTGTTTCAATACATTTTTCAATTTCCTTCTTTCTTCATTGACCCACTGGTCATTCAGGAGCATATTGTTTAATTTCCATGTATTTATATAGTTTCCAAAATACCTCTTATTAATTTCTAGTTTTATTTCATGGTGGTCAGAGAAGATAACTTGATATTATTTCAAAAAAAATTTTTTTTTTTTTTGGTAAACAGGGTATTGCTGGAGTGCAGTGGCATGATGTTGGTGCACTGCAATCTCAGCCTCCCTCGTTGCTGGGATTACAGGTGTGTACCACCATGCCTAGCTAATTTTTGTAATTTTTTTTTTTTTCTTTTTAGAGAGTTTCACTCTGTTGCCCAGGTTGGAGTACAGTGCTGCAATCTCGGCTCACTGCAACCTCCTCCTGGATCCAAGTGATTCTCCTGCCTCAGCCTCTTGAGTAACTGGAACCACGGGTGCATGCCACCATACCCAGCTTTTTTTGTATTTTTAGTGGAGACGGGGTTTCACCATGTTGGCCAAGCTGGTCTGGAACTCCTGGCCTCATGTGATTTGCCCGCCTCAGCCTCCCAAAGTGCTGGGATTATAGGCTTGAGCCACTGTGCCCACCTAATTTTTGTAATTTTAGTAGAGACAGGATTTGCCATGTTGGCAAAGCTGGTTTTGAACTCCTGACCTCAAGTGATCTGCCCGCCTCGGCCTCCCACAGTGCTGCAACTACAGGTGTGAGCCACTATGCCATTGTTGTTGTTGTTTAATGTTTTATGACTTGTTTTGTGACCTAACATATGGTCTATCATTGAGAATGATCCATATGCTGAGTGGAATGTATATTCTGCAGCCATTGGGTGAAACGTTCTGTAAATATCAATTAGGACCTATAGTGCAGATTATGTCTGATGTTTCTTTGTTGATTTTCTGTTTGGGTGGTCTATCCAAGTGTGAAAATGGGGTGCTGAAGTTTCCAGCTATTATTGTATTGGGGTCTATCTCTGTCTTTAGCTCTAATAATAATATTTGCTTTATATATCTGTATGCTGCAGTGTTGGGTGCGTATATATCTACGGTTGTCATATCCTCTTGCTGAATTGACCCCTTTGTCATTATATAATGACCTTTGTCTCTTTTTATGGTTTTTGTCTTGAAATCTATTTTGTCTGATGTAAGTATAGCTACTCCTGCTCTTTTTTAGTTTCCATTGCATGGAATATCCTTTTCCATCCCTTTATTATCAGTCTATGTGTGTCTCTATAGGTGAAGTGTGTTTCTTATAGGCACCAGATAGGTGGGGCTTATTTTTTTAATCCATTCAGCCACTCAATGTCTTTTAACTCATGATTGAAGAGTTTAGTTCATTTATATTCAATGTTTGTATTGGTAACTAAGGACTTAATCCTGCCATTTTGTTATTTGTTTTCTGGTCTTCTTTTTCCTTCCTTCCTTCCTCCCGCCCTCCTTCTTGCTTTTAGTGAAGGTGATTTTCTCTGGTGGTATCATTGAATTTCTTGCTTTCTATTTTTTTGTGTATCCAGTATATGTTTTTTTATTTGAGGTTACCATGAGCTTGCAAATACTATCCATTAATTCGATTTAATTTAATTTTTTTATTTTTGAGATGGAGTTTCTCTGTTGTCACCCAGACTGGAGTGCAATGGCGCGATCTTGGCTCACTGCAACCTCTGCCTCCTGGGTTCAAGTGATTATCCTGCCTCAGCCTCCCAAGTAGCTGGGATTACAGGCGCCTGCCACCACACCCGGCAAATTTTTGTGTTTTTAGTAGAGATGGAGTTTCACCATGTTTGCCAGGATAGTCTCAAACTCCTGACCTCAGGTGATTCACCTGTCTTGGCCTCCCAAATTGCTAGGATTATAGGCGTGAGCCACTGCTCCCGGCCCCGATGCATTATTTTAAAGTGATGACAACACTGATTGCATAAACAAGCAATAAGAAAACTAAAAATACTCTAAATTTATATCCTTGCTTCTTAACTTTTTGTTGTTTCTCTCTACGTGTTATTGTACTGTCTACCTTTTGAAAAGTTGCAGTTATTATTTTTGATCGGGTCATTGTTTAGTCTTTCTACTTAAGGCCAATAACCCTTAGACTTGTTCTTTTGCAGCTATTTTTTTAGATCTTGTAGGCTTCCTTCATTCTTTTTCATTTTTTTCTTTTGTTTCCTCTTTATTTTCAAATAGCCTATTTTCATAGCTCACTACTTCTTTCTTCTGCTTGATCAATTCTGCTATTAAGAGACTCCAGTGCATTCTTCAGTATGTCAATTGCATTTTTCACCTCTGGAATTTTTACTTGATTCTTTTAATTATATCAATCTGTGTTAGATTTATCTGATAGAATTTTGAATTTCTTCTCTATGTTATCTTAAATTTCCTTGAGTTTTCTCAAAACAGCTATTTTGAATTCTGTCTGAAAGGTTATATATCTCTCTTTCTCCATGATTGGTCCCTGGTGCCTTATTTAGTTCACTTGGTAGGTTCATGTTTTCCTGACTGGTCTTGATATAGATTTTTGTCCGTGTCTGGGCATTGACATGTTAGGTATTTACTGTTGTCTTCACAATCACAATCTGGGCTTTGCAATCTGTACCCGTCCTTCTTGGGGAGACTTTCCAGGTATTTGACGGGACTTGGGCTCCAAGCCCAATAATGCTGTAGTTCTTGCAGACTTGTAGACTTGGATAAGATCCAGAAGAATTCTATGGATTACCAGGTAGACACTTTTGTTCTGTTCCCTTTTTATCAAAAGGTGAGCAACTAATGGCGTATCTCTCTTTCTATGCTGAGCTGCTTGGAGGTGGGGGTGGGGTGATGCAAACACCCCTGTGGCCACCACCACTGGAACTACCTCGTTCAGACCTGAAGCCAGCACAGCCCTGGGTCTTCCCCAAGGCCCTCTATAACCACTGCCTGGCTACCACCCATGTTTGCTCAAGCCCCAGGACTTAAAATCAGCAGGTGGTGAAACCAGCCAGGTTTGTGTCCTTCCTTTGAGGGCAACAAGTTCCCCAGGCTCCAGGCATGTCCAGAGATGCTATCTGGGAATCAGGGATAGGAATTTAAAAACCTTAGAAATCTACCTGGTATCCTATCCTACTGCAGCGAAGCTGCCACTCAAACCACAAGACAAAGTCCTTCCCAATCTTTCCCGCCCTTACCACAGGCAGAGGAACCTATCCCTGTGGCCATAACCACCACTGGCCCACAAGGAGTTCTGCCAGGCCACCACTGATGTTAACTTAAGGCCCAAGGGCTCTTCAGTCAGCGTGTACTGAGTGCTACTAGGCCTAGGACCCCACCCTTCAGGGCAGGTCCAGAAATATCCAAGAGCCTAGGCCTAGATTTGGGAACCCCAAGAGCCTGCTTAGTGCTCTATCCCACTGTGATCAAGCTATGCCTGAAGCCAACATGTCTCAGAGTCTCCCCCAAGACCCAAGCATGCTCCCTGGGTAGTGGTTATTGCTTACTCAGGGCCCGAAGACTCTTCAGTCAGTAGGTGATGAATCTTGCCAAGACTGGGTCTTTTTTTTTCAAGGCCAGTGAGTTCCCTTCTGGCTCAGGGTGTGGCTAGAAATGTCAACAGGAACTAGGGCCTGGGATGGCGGTCTCACGACTCTGCCCGGAGTCTGTCCTACTGTGGCTGAGCCTAGCATCCAAGATGCAAGAGAAAGCCCCTTTTACCTTTCTCTCTTGTCCTCAAGCAGAAGGAAGGAGTCACTTTTGTTGCTGTGAGCTGCGCTGCCTGGGTTTGGGAGGAGGAATGGCACAAACTCTCCGTTAGAAGCCCTGTCTGATGTCTCCCTAGGTTGTGCCCCAATCCACTGACTCTAAGCCCAGCACAGAACCAGGATTTGGCTAGGAATTGCGTTCCTTGTATCCTAGACTGCCTTTCAAGTTCACTTTGAACCCAGAGCGCTTTAGCTTGTGGTGGCGAGGCTTGCGGAAACTCACATTCTGGCCACTCAGGTGGGCACTTTCCCTCTAGCTACAGCTGGTCCAAGTGCTCCCTCTGTGGGCGGATACCAGCTGAGTTCAGCATGGTTTTGTTTTGCACTGTGACAGGGCAGCACTGAGTTCAATGTGCAGTCCCCAAATTGCTGCACTCTCCCTCCCCCAAGTACACAGATTATTTCTTCACCACACACAGCCACTGCCAGGGGAGTGGCGGAGGGTAGTGCTGGCAATTCAAGACTACCTTTCCTTCCCTCTTCAGTGCCGCTTTCAGTGATACGAAGTTAAAACCAGGTACTGTGATTATTCACCTGATTTTTGGGTCTTATAAAGGTGCTTTATTGTGCGCAAATTTTGGGGGGGTGTATTGTACAATTGGTGGAGGCTTCTATTTTGCCATCTTACTCTGGTTTGTAATTTTATGTCTTTGAAAAGAAGCTAAGAAAAGAAAGCAAGTATGTGTTTATAGTTTGTTATATTAACTTTCTTATTTATCATTTCTGGTTCTCTTGGTTTGTTTTTGTGGATTTGATTTACCATCTGGTGTCATTTCCTTACCCTAATACAGTTTTAATCCCATCTGACTCCTTTATGTTATTATTATCAAATATATTTCTGGCTGGGTGCAGTGGCTCGCTCCTGTAATCCCAACACTGTGGAAGGCTGAGGCAGGAGGATCACTTGAGCTCAGGAGTTCGAGGCTGCAGTGAGCTATGCAGTGAGCTATACCACTGCCCTTCAGCCTGGGTGACAGGTGGAGACCCAGTCTCTAAAAAAATAAAAAGTAAGGCCAGGCGCGGGGGCTCACGCCTGTAATCCCAGCAGTTTGAGAGGCCAAGGCGGGTGGATTACAAGGTCTGGAGATCGAGACTATCCTGGCCAACATGGTGAAACCCCGTCTCTACTAAAAATACAAAAATCAGCTGGGCGTGGTGGCACCCACCTGTAATCCCCGCTACTCGGAAGGCTGAGGCAGGAGAATCAGGAGGTGGGGGTTGCAATGAGCCAAGATCTCGCCAGTGCACTGCAGCCTGGTGACAGAGTGAGATTCCGTCTCCAAAATAATAATAATAATAATAATAATAATAATAATTAAATGAACTTTACATTTCTATATGCTATAGACCTGACAATGCAACTGTATACATGTTTTATACAGTTGCTTTTTAAATCAGTTAACAGAAGAACTATACAGGTTGTGTTTTATAATTATCTTTACAGATTGGGATTACTATTTGGAGTTAGTTACTTTTGGTCTGAAGAACTATCCTTTGTCCTTTATATTTCTTGTAAGACAGGTCTGCTGGCAGTGAATTCTCTCAGCTTTTGTTTATTTGAGAATGTCTTTATTTTGATTTCTTTTCTTTTTTTTCTTTTTTTTTTGAGACGGAGTCTCGCTCTGTCACCCAGGCTGAGTGCAATGGCACGATCTCGGCTCACTGTAACCTCTGCCTCCTGGGTTCAAGAGGTTCTCCTGACTCAGGCTCTTGAGTCAGGCCTATAAATTACAGGCACACAACACCACGCCTGGCAATTTTTTGCATTTTTAGTAGAAACAGAGTTTCACCACGTTGTCCAGGCTGGTCTCGAACTCCTGACCTCAGGTGATCCACCCACCTTAGCCTCCCAAAGTGCTAGGATTACATGCATGAGCCACCACACCCACCCTAGCTTAACATGTTTTTATTCCCAGTTCTTGGCCTTCACTTTTTAGGACTGTCTTCAACATGTATAACTTACAGTTCATGTATTTTAGAAGTATACAAATATAACTCCAAATGCTAGATTTTGGTGTGAAGAAGATTCACACTTGAGATTACTATAAATTATTTTAATGAAAATATTGTGTTACATTTTCTGATTTTAAGAGCAATAAGTACTTTTTGTAAGAAGAGAGAAAAAAAAAAAAAACTAGACTCCTGATATAAAAGTCAGTATCCACCTGCAAACCCATCTCCCAGATATAAACACTATCAAGGTAACATGACCTTCTGTAAACTTTTTGTTGTAGCTCCAGCAGGAGCCTGTGGTATTGTTCTGGCACCTCCTGCAGGTATAGCTGCAAGTTCCAGGGCTGTCCTCTTCACTGTAGGGTCTCCTCCACACAGTGCAGTGGCCCCCACTTGTACCCACATGCTCCTTCGAGCAAGAACAACCTCAGGTAAGGAGCATTTATTGTATTACAGTCTTTGGCTAGTATTTGGAATGTAGTGTTTTGACAAATGACTCAGTGTTGTAACTTGGCCAAGTCACTTAATTCTCGGGGCTTCAGTTTCTTTACCAGTGAAATGGAGATTACTATTTTCTTTATCTTAATGGGTTTTAAGAATTAAATGAGGCATTATTTGTGGGAAAAAAAACTTTGTAAAGTGCTATATTATATATTAAAATACTATATGTTCTATATAATATATTACAAAGTAACATAGTATAAATATGACTTATTCATGAAGAAGCAAATCAAATATGGTTCTTCTCAGCTTATATATTAAAGGGTTACTTTAGTAGATCCAATAAATTATTTGAAAATTATATGCTTTTTGTTTGTTTGTTTGTTTTAAAGAAACTTGTTTTGGCCAGGTGCGGTGGCTCATGCCTGTAATCCCAGCACTTTAGGAGGCTGAGGCAGGCAGATCACTTGAGGCCAGGAGTTCGAAACCAGCCTGGCCAACAGGGTGAAACCCTGTCTCTACTAAAAATATAAAAATTTAGCCAGATGTGGTGGCAGGTGCCTGTAATCCCAGCTACTCAGGAGGCTGAGGCAGGAGAATCACTTGAACCTGGAAAGTGGAGGTTGCAGTGAGCCGAGATCACGCCATTGCACTCCAGCCTGGGTAACGAGCAAAACTCTGTTTCAAAAAAAAGAAAAAAGGAAAGAAACTTGTTTTATTTATTTTTTAAATTTTTTGTACTTTGGGTCTCAATCTTTGCACTTAATCCTATATACAGTTAGAAGGCTAATAGATTTGTTTTATCATTTATAATCTGTAAATAAGTTAATACCAAAAATTAAGAAAGTATTTAGATTGGACTTGAAATCAATAATTCGACATCTTCTCTGTTGTACCATGAGTCAAGTTATCTTATTCTAAATAAGTTGCTAATCAAGATACCAGATTAATAAGCAAAGGACAGAAATAGATAATAAGAGAAAATAGACCTAAAATCGTATTTTTAAGACAGTTAAAAACCTTGAATAATAAGAAAATGCCATTTTAAGAAAGTAACATTTGTGACCGGGCGCGGTGGCTCAAGCCTGTGATCCCAGCACTTTGGGAGGCCGAGGCGGGTGGATCACGAGGTCAGGAGATCGAGACTATCCTGGCTAGCATGGTGAAACCCCGTCTCTACTAAAAATACAAAAAACTAGCCGGGCATGGTGGCGGGCGCCTGTAGTCTCAGCTACTTGGGGGCTGAGGCGGGAGAATGGCGTGAACCCGGGAGGCGGAACTTGCAGTGAGCCGAGATCACGCCACTGCACTCCAGCCTGGGAGACACAGCGAGACTCCGTCTCAAAAAAAAAAAAAAAAAAAAAAAGTAACATTTGTATCTGTTAACTCTAACTACATTTTAAAAAGTATAATATCCAAGACTGGGCATGGTGGTTCACGCCTGTAATCCCAGCAGTTTGGGAGGCCGAGGCGGGAGGATCACTTGAGGTCAGGAGTTCGAGGCCAGCCTGGGCAACATGGTAAAACCCCATCTCTACAAAAAAAATACAGAAATTAGCCAGACATGGTGGCATACGCCTATAGTCCCAGCTACTTGTGAGGCTGAGATGAAATAATTACCTGAGCCCAGGAAATCAAGGCTGCAGTGAGCTGTGATCACGCCACTGCAATCCAGCCTGGGCAACAACAAGACTCTGTCTCAAAAAAAAAAAAAGTATCATGTCCAGTGTTATTGAGGTTTAAATAGGATCTATGTGCTTACTCAGGGCTGCATTAAAGGGTAATATAGCAGTTCTTAGGAAGAGCTGTAAAAATATGCTAATTCCATTCCTTCTTATACCACTTCAGAGTATTTATCACAAAGAAATTATTCAAAAGAAGGAACAACTGCATTTCATTACAGTGCTATTTGTAATATGAATAAAATCAGAAATAGTATAAATAACTCCAGATAAACATTATATATAAACTTAATGAATCACTATGCATCCATTGAGTTTTATAATTATGAGGCCCTGTGGAACAGCAAGGAGAAATGAATATGATCTAAATTTGTTTAAAACAGAGTATTAAAAAAACCAGCTGTGATGATGTCTAATATAAAATATATAGACAAGGAATAACAATGAACATGGATAGGTAAAGACTATTAATATCCTCAAATAGTACATAGGGGTCAGTGAGTTTCTTTTAACATTTCCTTTATCACCTCAGCAGGTTTATTCAGTACATAAGAGTAGGAGTGGGTGTGAAAGCCCTGACTCTGGACACTGCCATGTATCCTCTGTTTCCTTGTAGTGGGGCCTAGCAACTCGGGGGGCTCTCTGTGTGCCATGAGTGGCCGCGTGTGTGTGGGGTCCCCGCCTGGCCCAGGCTTCGGCTCTTCCCCTCCAGGAGCAGAGGCAGCTCCCAGCCTGAGATACGTGCCTTACGGTGCTTCACCCCCCAGCCTGGAGGGGCTCATCACCTTTGAAGCCCCTGAACTGCCGGAGGAGACGCTGATGGAGGTAGAGAAGAGACTATAGTGGTGTGAATGTAACGTTGATTTGGTATGAGAACATTCTAGGGATGACAAGAACAAAATACATTAAATAGTTACTAAATTATGTTCTCTTTAACGTGCCTTTTCTGTTTGAAAAGTATCGCTGATGTCGTTTTAGATTAATGTTGACAGTGACACTCATCCATAATAAGCTTTGGTTTATAGGAAGAAACGCATAGATTCTGTGTTTTTCTTTCTTTTTTTTTTTTGAGATGGAGTCTCGCTGTGTTGCCCAGACTGGAGTGCAGTGGCGCGATCTTGGCTCACCACAACCTCCGCCTCCTGGGTTCAAGCAGTTCTCCTGCCTCAGCTCCCCAAGTAGCTGGGATTACAGGCATGTGCCACCATGCCCAGCTAATTTTTGTATTTTTAGCAGAGACAGGGTTTCACCATGTTGGCCAAGCTGGTCTTGAACTCCTGACCTCGTGGTCCACCCGCCTCTGCCTCCCAAAGTGCTGGGATTACAGGCATGAGCATTCTAGTACATTCCAGTACATGTTCCAGTATATTGAAACATATAGTCCAATATGCTGTCACAGAACAGAAAGACTTAGAAGTCAATTGGCTTATTCTGTCACCAGGAAAATGATTCTCATCTTTCTTTAACCATAATAGAGTGGGAAACTTTTAGGCTTATTTGAGATTTCAGAATGCATTTATAACTAAAAACAAATCTCAAAACAACATTCTAGAATACCCATTTATTTATTTATTTGTTTGTTTATTTGAGACAGTCTTGCTCTGTCACCCAGGCTGAAGTGCAGTGGCGCGATCTCAGCTCACTCCAACCTCCACCTCCTGGGATCAAGCCAGTCTCCTGCCTCAGCTTCCTGAGTAGCTGCGACTACAGACACATGCCACCACAGCGGCTAATTTTTGTATTTTTAGTAGAGATGGGGTTTCGCCATGTTGGCCAGGCTGGTCTCAAACTCCTGGCAAACCTCTGACTCAGTGAATCAACCTGGCCTCAGCTTCACAAAGTGCTGGGATTACAGGGCGTGAGCCACCAGCCTGGCTAGAATACCAGTTTTTAATGGACAGCCCGTCTGAATGTTGTATTGTCTCCCACATCCCCTCTTTAAACTAACTGGAAGAAATCACAGAAATTTAGAGCTTTGGTGATTAGTAAATCACTGTTATGAAAAAACACCAGATTAAGTAAGCAGCTGCTGAATTATAAGAAAGTCAAACGATTCACTACAGTATCAAGAGTGTAATTTAGCCTATGGTTCCTTATAATCTTGGTGGTCTAACTTGTCACGTTTTTGTCTCAGTGTATATTGGTTATCATCAGCTTTTTTTTTTTCTTGGTAATGCAGCAGGCGATCTCCTGGAGAGTGTTCTTAATGTGTACTGAAATATATACAAAACATGCAGATGCCCCTCTTTGATTTGTTTTTGTTTTTGTTTTTTTGTTTTTTTTGAGACGAGGTTCGCTCTGCTGGCCGAGGTGGAGTGCAGTGGCGGATGCTCAGTCACTGCAAGCTCCGACCTCCTATGGTTTTTACGCCGTTTTCCTGCCTCAGGGCCTCCGAGTGGCTGGGACTGAAGGTGCAGCGCCACCGTTGCCCGGTATTTTTTGTATTTTTTTTATAGAGACGGGTTTTCACGTGTTAGCCGGGATGGTCTCGATTTCCTGACCTTGTTGAGGCCGCCCGTCTCGCATTCCCGCAAAGGCTGGGATTTAACAGGCTTGAGCACGGCGCCCGGCCTACATTTCGATTTCATGTTGTGTTCGATTTCTTGCCAGCGTTGTCCTGAAGTTTTAAAATGTTCATTCTCTTTTGTGCAATTCTGAGGTATGATTTACAGTATAGAAAAGGATCAGTGGCCCATGGTTGTATGTACGGATGATATGTACCTATTGTTAAGATGCTGAGAGTTGCCTACGACTTGCACTTTGCCTGCCAGGACAACGACGGCACACTTACGCGCATTGAATGTGGTTGATGTTCACGAAATGTGTGCTGGACTGACAGCCGGTGAGGGGAGGAAAACCTGAGCTGTGCCATCTGCTGTGTCCTTGTACTCAGATCCGGAGAGTGTGGTGTGGACAGATCAGTCAGCTGATTGCATATAAAAGAGCTGGTGGTGTGT